AAAGAAAGAAAGAGAGAAAAAAAGAGGAAACAAAACTACCGTTTATTAAATAGTGCCCTATACCAGACACTTGGCTTTGGAATTACAAGAATTTTTTCGTAAATTCTAAAAGGTTGTGAAATATATATTGCCCAGACATTTCACAGATGGGGACATTTATGGTTTATACAGGTTAAACAGATTGCCCTAATATTATAGTGGACTGCATTATATTACAATAATTTGAAGTGTGAGTGTTCTTATTCCTAGGCTTTAGTAAAAACTATCAAAATGGTGACTGTATGATGCTTTCTCTATTTTATGAAAAACAATGGATTTTTCAAAGGTGGAGAGATTGATAAAAGAGAAATATGAAATGGCACACACATATAGAACATGAAACATGACATGCTAGGATAATTTACCGGACTTTGTCACTCTCTGTCAACACTAGTGTTCAGGAGAAATTCTAGGCTGTTATAAATACCAGTATCCTCATATTTGGAGTATCCCTGTGAACTTGGGGTCTTCTCTGATGTCTGCTCCTGTCTCCTTTTTCAGCAAGCATCATGTCCCCCACAGCAGGAATTGATGATCCTTGGTCCCATTCCACAAGTCCAATGCCCTGGGTGTTTCCTTCCATGAGAGTCTTGTATCAACTCATCATTGCTCACTGTCAACAGAAAATTGCTTACAGAACCTCTGCATATAAGCTCAAGTCTCTTCTATAAAATATGGTATTTGCACAGGACATATGTGCATATCCCTGTGTGCTTTAGATAATCACCAGATTACCTACAGCATCTAAGATGATCTCAATGTCATACAAATAGCTGTTAAAAGTATTTGCCTAAATAATGATGGGGAATATTGTTTATATTTAATAGATGCAGCCTTTTTTAATACATGTGTAAAGTTTTACTCAGCAGTGAAAAGTGTCTTCAGATTTGGATGGACTTTAAGGCTAAGAGGAGCTGTCTCTTATGTCCTAGGAACATTTCTACTCTTTCTGCTTACTTCCTTTCTCTTTTAGTTTTTCCTCAAGAACATTTTAAAATGAGCTGACTTACTTAATGATTGTCAGCATCCTAAAACTGGTCTGCAGTCCTGAGACCACTAGTGTTTGTCTGAAATCTGAATCATATGATGCAGCTACCAAAGATAATGCAAAAAAGAAAAAAAAAGAAAGAAAAGAAAAAAGGAAAAAAAGAAAGGAAGTAAGTAGAAATAGTAGAAATGGGCAAACGGAATTCTGGTACCACACAGTGTTATATCACAGCACCCCTTCTCTGCTATAGACTTAGTGTATGGCGTGTTATAGTGCAGAACCTCCTTATTTGCCCCTTCAGTGTCTGTCGTTTCGGTTACTTGCTTCAAGAGTAGTCTTAAACCACTAACTATGAAATTCTAGGAATAAGTAACTCAGTGTTTTAAGTTGGACACTGCCCTGAGCAGCAATGATGAGATCTCACGGTGTCTAGGTCAAGAAGTGACTCACTAGTCACCAGTGCTTGTGTCCTAGTAACCCTCACTCACTCAGTGCTGGCCCCAAATTGAAAAAGTGGTGAGACCAGCAGCCCAGTATTCTAAAGAAAAGCCATAATGCCTTCCTTTAAATGAAAGGTAATAGCACAAAGTACTCCACTTAGTTGAAAAAAATTGTTCTTACTGTCATATATCAAACTGTGAAAGTTAGAGCCACCAGATGTAGTTTGGGCTTAGTTAAGATGGAAAATTTGTGTGTGTGTGTGTGTGTGTGTCTATGATTGTGTTTGTGTGTGTGTGATTGTATGTGTGTCTGTGATTGTGTTTATGTGTGTGTTTGTGTGTGTGTGCATGTGTATGTGTGTGTGTGCATGTGTATGTGTGTGTGTGCATGTGTATGTGTGTGCGTGTAAAACAGTGCACACCGAGTGTAGCACTATCTCCAGTCTCAGTCACTCCACTAAGGGTGCTGGAAAGAGTCCTTGCAGTTAAAGGAGATCTTTTACAGTAACAAAATCACCTCTGGCTTTTATCCCAGATGCACACAAGTAGATTTAGCAAGGGTATTCTTTGCACTTCCCACATGCCTGTCAGTGTCCACGCTGGCACTGGGTGGCTCTGAAACTCGGCTCTGCTGGGCTGACCCTTCTTGTCTTGAGCCTGACTGGGCTCAGTGTCTCAGGTAAGTGAGGGAAGAGCTTTAGCTTCATGATTTCCACATAAACATTAGTCCTCTTCACTGCACCTGGCCACCTTGAGCCTGCGGGGAGGTCAGTGACATTGAATGTTACAGGACAATATCCTGTGTCCTCTGTGGAAACTTCACAATTCTTCCATGCTCTTAATTTTTCTGAGAACCATTCTGGGTATAACATATGTGCATCTAGAATTGTAGAAAATAAAAGTCACAATTGTGACAGAAATATGACCACAAAGAAAACTAAAAGGCGCCATATTTAGCTTATTGCATGCCTGCTAAACCTTCCCTTGGAGTGGGTGATTGAAGACGAAGGTGAGACTGGGAGTGGCTGAGAGTTTCAGCAACACCCACAGACTGACATGTCAATCGGAAGACATGCAACCTCAGAGCTGTTTGAATCCATGCGTTCTGTGCTTTTCTTGTTCCTATATCTACACACTTGTCCCTTAATCCAGTTTGCTAATATTTTATCTTCAGTTACTTTGTCTAAAGTTAATTAATATAGACAAAACATAATATGAATCCTTTGTCATTAATTATGATTCCTTGACAAAGGATAGCAGTAACCTTGTCCCAGCATGTGCTAATGAAGCAACTACTGTGTGGAGTTGATTGTGGTGCAGCAGGAACGAGGCAGACATAGAACGTGTCTTCTTTTTACTCTAACATGCCTGAGAGATTGGCATCCATATCGGGATAAATGCTTATTTATTTCTCAAATTCCCAGGCCTTGGGCTGAAGGTCTTGCTGACAGCTCTGTGAAAGATGTCACTTTGCTGCTCATTGAATATGAAGAAGAATTGGTAAATTGTTAAATAAAATTGCTCATTTAGAACATAACACTTTCTTGAAGCTATGTCGACATCTCTGGACTTTAATCAATTGAGCCAGTAGAGGCTTGGATTTTAGGCAGCTCATAATTAGAGAGACTAATAGAAATAATGAATTAATAACTGAACATAGTGAGATGAATCAATTAAAAGTATGAATATATAGAAAGGAATTTCATGAAGCAGAGAGAATTATGCTGGTAGAGAGCTAGGAAGGACTTCAAATAGGAGTAACAGTGTTTTAGAAGTTTAGTAGAAGAAAATATGTCATAAACAAACATATTGTAGTTTACATCTCTCGATCTAATCTTTGATTGGAGATTCATGCATGTGGCGGTATTGTGCTCCCCAAAATATTGTGCACCCTAATAAACTTATCTGGGGTCAGAGAACAGAACAGCCACTAGATATAGAGGCCAGAAAATAGTGGCACATACACTTTTAATCCTAGCATTACAGAGGCAGAGATCTGCCTGGATCTCCATGAGTTCAAGGCCACACTGGAAACAGCCAGGCGTGGTAACAAGAGCTTTTAATCCCAGGAAGTAATGGCACAAATAGAAAGGTATATACGACGTGAAAACCAGGAGTTAAGATGGTTAAGCTTTTAGGCTTTTGAGCAGCACAGTTCAGCTGAGAGGCATCCAATCTGAGGAAATAGGACCAGCTGAGGAATTGGCAAGGTGAGGTAGCTGTGGCTTGTTCTGCTTCTCTGATCTTCCAGCATTCACCCCAATAACAGGCCCTGGGTTTGTTTTTATTAACAAGACCTTCTAACAATTCATGTTACACATGCAGAACTGCTTAAAGGAAACAACAGTTATTTTCTATTGGATTCTATTTCTATTGGACTAAATCATGTATCAGCGGAGAAGATCTGGAAGTGCATAAATGGCTCTATTTTAAATCCTGATCTGTAAGTTTGTTGTTGTTGTTGTTTTGTTTTGTTTTGTTTTTTGGGTTTTTGTTTGTTTGTTTGTTTTTGGTTTTGGTTTTTCGAGACAGGGTTTCTCTGTGTAGCTTTGCGCTTTTCCTGGAACTCGCTTTGGAGACCAGGTTGGCCTCGAACTCACAGAGATCCGCTAGCCTCTGCCTCCCGAGTGCTGGGATTTTAAAGGCATGCACCACCACCGCCCGGCTTCTGATCTGTAAGTTTTAAATGACCTAATTTGAATAGTCAATTCACATTCATTTTGCTGAAAATTAAATTTTGTAATTTTAATTTAGTTTATAAATTCTTGAAAGGATTAGAGTAGGCTGAAAAGACAATTCCAAAACTGGTTGAAACTTCATGTACAAGTAGACATCAACCCTTTATAATAATGTAATAATGTGTGTGTGTGTGTACTTACAACTGAATTTTAAAGTATAAGAAATAGATTAACCTCTTAGGTTTAGAGATAAAATATTTTTCAATGTCAGTCTGGAATACATAGGTCTTTTTCTCTTTCTTTTTTCACACACACACACACACACACACACACACACACACACACACACATATACTTACATATAATTTCTATTTAAACTATTTATTTGTTTTATGTGTGTGTGGTTGAGTGTACATATGTGTACCATGTGCATGCCGGAGCTCACAGAGTTCTGAGGAGGCCATCAGATTCCCTGGAATTAGAGTTACAGATGGCTGTGAGCTGCCCTGTGTGCTGGGACTTGAACCTGGGTCCTCTGCAAGAGCAGTAAGTACTTTTAACCCCTAAGCCATCTCCCCAGCCCCTATACAGAAATCCTTAAGCAGTATTTTTAGAGTTGTGGCAATGCACCATAGTGTATCATGAAATATGTTTCTCTAGGTAGAATCAGTATAGATATTGCTGTTTAAAAATATTTTCATACATAGTAAAGTTTCATTGTGTGTGTATGTATTTCTGTGTGTGTTTCTTAATTGTGCTATGATATAAAATGCTTGCTTAATTTTGATTCATAGTAAGAAAGTTATGATAAGTAAAGAAATACATGTAAGGCAGAGGATTTAGCTCAGTTGCTTTGTGATTTTGTTCTTATATAAAAGGATACTCTGATTAGACGGTGGTGACCAGGTAAATTTGGAGGCTGTCATGCTGCAATAGAAAGAGAGTCAGTCAAACTGGCTTTTGTTTTAACTGGACTGAGAAAATGGCTCAGGGTAAAAGGTCAACCCCACAGTTCATTCCACAGAACCCATATAAAAAGCCAGACACAGGAACACACATCTGTATCACAGATGGGAAGTGGAGATGGGAGAATCACCCAGAAGCACCTGGGCCAGTGAGCCTGGAGCACACAGCACAGTGGTAGAAACAAGGTAGAAAGGGAGGCTCCCCCTCTAAACTGTCCTCTGACTCCTACACTTGCTCCAATCCTTCCCCTTTCTCTTTCCTCCCCCACTCTCTCTCACACATACATAAAGTGAGTATTTGTTTTAACTCCCTGAGCTTCGGTTTTCAGGTAAGGAGACATGAGAAAACATAGGCAATGTAAAAATTCTTCAAGCAGGATCATTTGGGGAATTAAATGAGATAATGTTAAAGCTTTATAGGAAGTCTGGCTGGGGAAGCCCTGGGAATCCATTGAAGGTTGTTTTTTTTTTTTTTTTTTTAAACGAAGTCATTAATTTGAGCAGATTGGCCTTAAAAGAGGATCTTGAAGATTGAAGAAGGAAGCTAAAAGATGAAAAAATAACGTAGGCTCATTTATAGATGCCCGGATGAGAGAAGTTCATAGCTTGTTTAGCATGCTGGACACTAGGGTGACATCAAATTTGCTGCTCAAGCCCAAGGGGCTCCTTGAAGAAAAGAACAGATGCAAAGATCAGTTGTGAGGGAGCTCTGCCTACTGCCTGATGTGTGGCATCCTCTGCTAGAGACAGGCTAGCTTTGAACTCGCCTTTTCCTTGTAATCACCCTAGAAGATGCCTGTGTTAGTGCTTGACTTCTGGTCTCATTCCCACCTGCAGTGATCACAGGAGCCCTAAGTGTGGGACTAGTGTGATAAAGCAAAGACCTACCAGCTCTGGAATGAGACAGGTAGGAACCTGATTCTGTTCCACATGAGTTGAGGCTCTTTTCTTCTCTGTATCTAATTCTTAGATCCACTGTGTTCACTCTGTATGTTGAACACTTAATGAGCACCTACTGTGTGTAACTGTTGTCATACATTAAAGCCTATCTGTAGCACAAATTGTTAGAAGGTCTTACTAATTAATTAGTAAGACTAATTAAGGTCTTACTAATAAGCAAACCTGAAGCCAGGTATTGGGGTGAACGCTGGAAGATCAGAGAGACAGAACAGACCACAGCTAACCTCACCTGGCCAACTTCTCAGCCCATCCTGTTTCCTCAAACTGGGAGCCTCTGTGTCCTCATCTGAATGGATCTCAGCTGAACTGCTGCTCAAAATCCTAAAAGCTCAACCAGCTCTAGTTCCTGGTTTTCATGCCTTATATACCTTTCTGCTTTCTGCCATCACTTCTTGGGATTAATCCCAGTCACCATGCCTGGCTGTTCCCAGTGTGGCTTTGAACTCACAGAGATCTAGATGGATCTCTGCCTCCCAAGTGATAGGATTAAAGGCGTGTGTGCTACCATTTTCTGGCCTCTATATCTATGTAGTGGCTGTTCTGTCCTCTGACCCCAGACAAGTTTATTAAGGTGCACAACATATCTCAATGGTTCCCTACACATTAGCTGGTTATACCCTATGTTTTTAAGGAAACTGAAGCTCAGCAAAATGAAGATGCTTTCCCCATGATCACATGTGTGAAGATTTTTGCTGAAAGAATTCTTCTATTTGTAGGACAAACATAGTATGTACTCACTCATAAGTGGATACTAGATGTGAGGGAAGGGATGGCCAGACTGCAACCCACAACTCTAGAGAGGCTAGCTAACAGGGAAAGACCCTAGGAGGGACACATGGATGACCCAGTGGAGAAGTGGATGAGATCTACATGAGTGGACTGGGAGTGGGGGGGTGGTGGCAGAGGGCGAGGAGTGGGGGATGAGAACATAGGGAAAAAGGAGGGTCGAGCTGGAACAGGGACAGAGTAGGAGGGCATGGAGGGAGATACCATGATAGATGAGGACATCATGGGAATAGGAAGAGGCAGGGTGCTGGTTAGGCTCTCAGGAATCCACAAGGATGACCCCACCATGCAGAGTCCAGTGGGCTACTGCTCCCCTTCAGGCTGGCCTGCTCTAATCTTGCTCTGGAGTGTTCATTCACTTTGAGTTACTTTGCCCTGTTAAACAATCTTCTGTTCAAATTTTATTTTGGCCAAATTCTGTGGGAAGACAAGAATAGAAGAGAAACTGTCACTTGTAACAATGACACCATCAGAACACAAATCAGAAGGAAATATTCCCATAATTGATAATGTGCACACTGCATCTTGGGATGGTGTTGGTACCAGCCTCCTGATTGCTGTTCAAGATGAGCTCAGTCCTTCTTGATGGAACATGATCCATCACACATTTGGGTTAGATCTGAAATCAAGCAATCCTAAAGGCATGTTGGTAGGAATGCTTTCCCATGACACCTACCCCAGAAAGTATATTACCTATCTCTGTCACTTTTGTTACAGCATTACCTTACTATTGGATAGGATCCTACTGAGGTATACTTAAGTTATGAAGGGGAAATCCATCCAGGAAGCCATGTCTCATTGTATCTCAACAGGCTAAAAATATCAAGTCTAATTGAGATTATTGCATGTGTACACACTCACCTGGTAAATATGAATCAGTGATTATTGATATATCTTACTATGACTGGAATCCACTGCAAAAGTCTATGATTAGTCTGATGTTCAAATCTCGCCTTCTACCAATTGCCAAATGAAACAAGAGATGAAAATGTTGAGGAGGTTACGTACCAAAGGAAAACTGTCCATCTTGGTGGGAATGAAAGCTAACATGGCTGCCATGAAAAAGAACAAGGGAATACTCTCCTCATTATAAACACATCCTTTATACCATCAAGCAATCTCTCTCTCTCTCTCTCTCTCTCTCTCTCTCTCTCTCTCTCTCTCTCTCTCTCTCTCCATATATCCCAATAAAGAAATGAGATGTTCTAAATTTTAATTTTGAAAGTAGGAGGATGCAGGAAGATTATACTTTTCCATCTTTTTACTTTAAGATAGTGTCAATCTTTGATGGTAAGATATATTTCTTGGAGCAATAAATAGGCAGGCCCCATCTTTTAATCCAATCTTTCAGTCTGTTTTCTTTACTGAGTAATGGGGACCATTAATATTTGAGTTATTGAAAGGTGTGTATTATTTCCTGTCTCTGTATATTGTGTGTTTTATCCCCATTCCTTTCTCAACTATATTCAAGCTTTAAATCTGTTTGTCTTTATTTTCAGGCTAAAGGATTCCTTTATATATTTTCTATGGAGCTCTCTTGGAGTTTCTTTGGTGACCATGAATTTTTGTTTGTTTGTTTGGTTGGTTTTTGTTGTTGTTGTTGTTTTCAAGACAAGGTTTCTCTGTTTAAACAGTCCTAGCTGTCCTGAAATCACTCTTTTGACCAGGCTTGCCTCAAACTCACAGAGATCTGCCTGCCTCTGCCTCCCTGAATGCTGGAATTAAAGATGTGTACCAACACCACCTGGCTGGCCATGAATTTCTTTACCCTACTTT